ACAGGGGCTTGTCATGATGAGAAGGAAGCACAGAATACTAAACTTTTACCCTGAACCAGACACTTAATTACTCAATCTTCACAACAGCCCTAGGGAGGTAAGTATTATCACTCAACCCATGAAAGTCAGCCCAAATTTGGATCCTGGAAGTCTGCTGCTAGAGTCTATACCCTATGCACTATGCTCCTCTAGTGATGAGAGAGTCAAAGGCAGGGGCTCTTGAACTGACCAAGCCCCTGGACTGAAAAGCTTAAACTTCTAAAGGATTGTTCGTTACTCAGAACACAGGATAGAGACTAACCCAGCTGATTCCAGAACACCTACTCTGAGCAGGCCTTCTGACTTGGCTATGGCCTTGGCTTAGTGCACACTTATAGGTAGATGGCAGGAAAATGATTAGACTTACACCATCACAGCCCCTGGGAACCATCTTGCTTGCTTCACTCTTCTCAGCCATCCCTCTGGAATCTTCTTGTTTGCGAGAGTAGCCTGTCAGTGACAGAGGACTAAATGGGGAATGGGCTAAAGGTTTCTGTCCCTTTGCACCTACTCCTATTCCCATGGACATTGCCATCCAACTCCCCACTCTAGGAGACTTACATGGAAATGCAGTTGCCCTCTTGATGGATGAAAGTTAGTCTTCCAAACTTCCCCAGAAGCAGTAGGTTTAAAGAAAAGTTCACCCTTCTTATCTCTCTCCTTAACTCAAGTGTCTTTATACCACCATTAAAGATATATCCCTTGGATCATTGCTGGGATGAATGGCAGGCTAGATATGAATGAATAAAATCATTAGATCCTGGCAATGGAGCAAGAACCAACCTCGAGTACTGAAACTGAGTGACCGTCAGGAGCTTGGAACAGGAAGGAGGAAAATGAAATAAACACCAATCTCATAGGTGACGATACCCCTAGAAAAGGGATGCCATGAGGGGTGCGGCAAATTAACAGGTTGCTTGTCTCCATTCTTTCTCTTGCCAGGCCTGCTGGAGCGCAGCCCCTACCAGATCACATCTACATCCTAAAAACAGCCAAGGGAAGGCCCTCTCTCCTTCCAGGCTCCTGAAGCATTGCCACGAATGGACATCTTACAGGTCATGTATGTGGCAATCTGACAGATTTGAGTGACGGCAATCCAGTTGTCCGCAGCTACCCTAGTCTTTCCCGGGGTTCTCAGAGCATCTGGCAGTGAGAATAGAATGTGGTGAGTTGTGGCGAGTCTAATACATTCCCACAGGTACTCTCCTCAGCATATGTAAACATTTCAAGGCATTTTCCCTTATGTATCCCACTGAAACCCACCACAGAAGATTCTTTCTTCGAGTTTCACCTTGAGATTGTCCTAAGTGATTTATTATAAAATACTCTTGGGAGGGGTGAATACTCTTGGGAGGGGTGACATCTAAGGCAATGATTTAATTCTGAAACTTTCTATATTTAGCAGCTTGCCTTTTTCTCTGACTTACATAAAATGGCACTGTGGCATAATAACTTCAGTATATTTAACAGCCCCTAACGACACACTTTACAGTGACTATAATAAAGCCATGTGTGGTGGCACATGCCTGTAATCCAAGCTACATAGGAGGCTGAGGCAGTAGGATTGCAAGTTCAAATTCTTCCTGGGCAACTCAGCAAGACCCTATCTCAAAATGAAAACATTTAAAAATGGTTGGGGATGTAGCTCAGTGATCCCTGCATTCCATCCCCAGTACTGTAAAAAAAAAAAAAAATGACTAAGATGGTACATTTCACATTATGTGTATTTTATCACAATTTTAAACAGTATAGCTCAGATATCTTCTATTTTGACTGCACTCTCTTCAGAGGAAGAATCAGGCCCTGTTTTGACTATGATTATGACTCTGTTCACCCTCAAAACACTGCTGATACAGAACTGGTCGGGCCAACTGTTTCCTTGCCCTAAGGCTTAGCACAGAAGGCAGAGTTGCCTTAATCACACTGTCTTCTTAGACTGCAGGTTCAGTAACAGAAGAGCTAAACAGTGACTTGCCATCCAACACTTTCACTAAGGCCATTTTTGGGTTCATCTAGGCTGGCTGATGCATGTAATCTATTCATACTTGGTTGTCCTCAGTCATGCTCCTTCTCCCCCTCTCCCCTTCCCCTCCCCTCCCCTCCCCTCCCCTTCCCCTTCCCTTCCTCCTGCTGCTCTCACAAAAACCACAGAACCTGATTCTTATCTTCATTCTCTTCTCTCATCCCTTCTACCAATCCCTGAAGAACTGTGTCCCTAAAATATTGCATGCCTACATCTTGTACTCTGAATAACTAGTATGAAGATAACAGTACACAATATATTAATTATTGTTACTCTCGTACAATCCTGTTTTGAAACTGCTTTACTGATATTATTTTTCTCTTTAAAATAAAAAAATTCTAGACTACAGTTCTGGTGAAGCCCTGTAAATAAAGCATTACTGTAATGTTTCTTTTGAGATGGGGGGACTCACTATGTTGACCAGGCTGGCCCCCAAACTATTTTGGGTCAAGTGATCTTTCTGCCTCAGCCTCCCCTGGATCTAGGATTGCAAATGTGCACCCCCGAGGCATGACTTGTCATATTTTTTTAAAAAGAGAACCATGGGCCTGAAGGGAAGGGGAATTAGAATAAGACAGTGAGACAGTTATGTGTGCTTTTCTACTCTGCCAACAGTCAAAGAATGGGGGAGAAACTCTCACATCTGGAAGCTAGTCATGAAGTACAGTATTAGCAATCTTCTTTGGCCAATAACAGTATACTCTGCATAGTGGAAAATTCCCTCTGCCTTTGATTTCCCCTGCCCAACTGCCCAAGGTATTCCCTCAAGGAAGAAAAAGGAAAATATAGCTTAATACCACATATACCCATAATTGTTATACTTCTCTCAGTCCTTTCTCATATGCAATCTCAGTCGATTCTCAAATCCCCACAGCTGTGGAGACTACAGCCCAGACAGGTTCAGCATCTCTAGGAGAAACAAAGCCCTTTCACTGGCACAGCGAGGGCTGGACGCAGTTCTCCTGCTTCCTGGTCCTAAGCTCTCGCCACAGCACCACAGTGTATTTGATTTAGTCACTAGGTAAGATTGTTTGGAAAGCAGCCCAGACCTTATTCTCTTTGTTGATACAAATTATGTGTAGACCTTGGGTTTATAAAAGCAATGACAAATTGAAAAGGAGATGGCAAGCAGAATTAAATGAAAGACTCCATTTATATCCTTCTAGAAGAGTACAACTGACAACACAGAAATATGTCTGTAATGGAGAGAAAGCTTCTGTTTATTTTTGTACATTTTTTATGGTACTTGGGGTTGAATGCAGGCCCTCATTTATGCCAGACAAGTACTCTATCACTAAGCGACATCCGCAGGCCTACTTTTATACTGTTGGTGAGCACTTCCAGACACTTGAAGTCAAAACATCTCCTAGTCCCTTTTTGTTGAAAGTCTCAAGTTACAAGCAAGAGAACATGGTCTTTCTTCTGCTTTATCTTTAGTAGAGAGCAAAGGTCTGAATCTGAATGGAAATCAGATCTGATGTGCAGAGTATACAAAAAGACTGCTACATGGAGTGAAAAGAGAATCCCTCTAATTTCTTAGAATGTTTGTCGTCTTTAAAATCATATTAAGGACAAAGCTAACATCTTCCCCATTTGACGATCAGTGCATGCTATTTGGGAAAACATTAGCAAAACTGGGGGTTGGCCAAGCATTTAGTTTTTTTCTTTCTCCTCTTTGTCTTTTGCTGAGCACAATGTGACCACATCAGTGCTGGTGACAGCCCCACTGGCTGGGAGACAGGTGGGCGCCCAGACTTCTGGGAAGCTTCATTATCTGGGGTACGGTTGCAACTATAAAAGTGGTTGAAAAAAGCAATTGGCCAGTAAAACAAATTGTTCTTCTCCAGGCCAGTTCACTTTTCTCATGAGGAGCTTTCTATAGCTACTCTGGTTACAAGTTTTTAATGGGTACACAAAGTCATCATAAAAAAGGTTAAAGTGTTTTCTAAAGCAGGAATGTTTTGCCATGAGATTTGTTTTCCACAGATGGTGTATCAGTGCTTATTTATGTTATTGTAACAACTATTCCCAGCTTCTTTAATTTGGGGTAAAAACATTTTAAATGTCTATGGAAGAAATGTTACAAATGTTTTTACAATGTTTCAACACCTAAAGAAAGGATTATGCTTCATTATCAAAATAACTTTGTGTCCCCAGTTATGCAAGACAAGTGAGCAATAGTGTTGTACTTAAAACAAGGGCTAGGCACTGCTCCCCACCGCTACCCCCAGCACTGCTGTTTATCAAGCTCTCTTTCCACATCCCCTCAGGCCTCCCTGACACAGCATCCTTTCTCATACTGTTATTGCTTTGGATGGCTGTTCAATCCCTGGCCTCCTCCTTTAAGGACATGGGGCTACCTTAGGGATGGAACTTGCAGAGGCAGGAAGGTTGCCATGAGTTTGAGGGCAGCCTGAACTATATAGCTAGACACTGTCTCAGTAAACCAAAAAGTTAAATATTAGCTTTTATAGTAACTAATAACAATGAGCCTGGGAAACTTCTTTTCGGGGCACTGGGAAAAACTGGAAAAGGAAAGTGGGATATCTTTGTTTTGTGCTCATATTTGACAGGGCTTCAGAATTAAGAAAAAAGGAGGAGAAACTAATAAATGAGGTGTAACTTTTGAAATACTTACAAAATTTATTCATTTAGCTACTTTAACCTTTTCTTTGCTATGATGCCCAGGCTAGTCTTGAGCTCCTGGGCTCAAGCAAGCTTCCTAACGCAGCTCCCAATAGCTAGGACTATAGGTACACACCCACCTGAAACCTTTTCTTCACCCACAGTTCTTTACATCATATTGGACCTGGTCATATAAGTACGGCTAGCACAACAACTCAACTCCCAAATCCAAACACCACTTCCAAAAACAAAGATTATCTCTTTATATAGAACTGGGTCTCAGGACTGGGGTGTTGGAGAGAAGAGTCACAGGTTATTGTTTAAACTACATTTATTACCCGCCTTTGACATTCCCCAGGGTTACAGAGCAGGAGATCTCAGACTCTCGTGTTCCATGGATGGAGCTGACACTGTGACAACTGAATCAATATAGGGAATACATTTTGAAGCTTTGGGGTAATACACCCATAGTGCTTACCCACTGCAGATGGCCAAGCTACTAAAGCTCAGTCAAGCTGCCTTTGAGATGACAACTGGGTAGGCAAGAAACCATACAATTTGAGGTCCTAGATCTTCCCCTCCCACTAACCCCCTCCCCCTTTAGTCTCCATTAAGCCTGTTCCATCCCAGACTGGTCTTGGTGCCCAGCTAGCTCCTGCTGAAAGACGAAGGGAGGGAAAAGATACCAGAGGTTTCTTCATTTTCGCTGTTTCTGTCCCTAAGGCAACAAGAAGCTGGGTCTGCTGCAGTATTTCTGACCTGGCAGTGACAGGAAGCCCAATGGCTCTGCAGAGTAAGCAGTCCCTGTCAGCTCCCAGAGCCGCTGCAGCGTAGATGGATCAGAGTTCTGATAGACTTCGTTCTTCAGTTCAATGCCCAGTGTTGGACGTCTTGGATTCAGTTCCCAGAGGGCTATCACGGGGTGTCAGGGCTGTCTGAAGACAAGAGAGCAGAGGCAGTTAAGTGCATATGGATGTGAGGGATGCGGTGGTGGCAAGGGAAGACAGGAGGGAAAAACTGGCAAGGAAAAAATAAGGAGTTCTCCTTCCTGGGCCTTCCACACAAGGTCTGACCTCACATCACTGCTTGGCCCTCAGGTGAGGCGAACCCTGGAAGGGGAAGAAAGGGCAGGAGTCGCGCCCGGAAATAAGCAGTATGAGGAGCGCGCAGGCCAGCGAGCTAGTGAGCTGGGGCTGTGGTTCTAGACCCGCTCTGTGCCCTGGGCCAGGGCAGGCAGCATCTCAGGGGCGAGCGGTCGGCGGCCTTCGGCCAGGAAGCCGGCGACAGTCTCGACGTCAGTGGCCAGGGTACCACCAGAGGCCCATTGGCACAGGGCAGTGTAGGTCTGAGATGGCTTCTTGGCCTTGCGGAGCTTGCGGAAGCGGGTGTAGGCCATTATGAGGCCTCCGGCCAGGCAGGCGTACAAGATCATGACGAGCAGGATGTAGAGATAGGCGTTGCTGCCCTTGGTGCTGGTCACCTGGCGGCCCACGAAAGGATCAGGCGCGACCCCCATGCCCATGCTCCGGTTGGAGCCAGCGCCCAGGCCACTGGCGTTGCCCTGATGGTGCAGCTCAAGCAGCAGGCGTCTCAACAGGTTTTGCAGCCATTGACTATCGCTGCAATTCATGGCTGTGGGAGAGTGACAAGGCGGCTCCAGGACGCTGCTGACCTTTCCCCTGGGCCGGGGGAAGCAAACTGGCGGGCAAGTGGGCCGGCAGACGGAGATGGCGACAGCGGCAAAACCCTCCTCTTGGGCGGGCGCGCAGTGGCTGGGGGCTCGGAGGCCAGGCCTCCTTATCCCCTCACCCTCTCCCTCCTCCCTTTCTCCACCACGCCCCCTCCGGCCTGGGGCCACCTCTTCCCAGCCTGTGGCTGTCTGGCCGCTTGGGGAAAGGGGACAGCTGGTGGGGGGAGGAGATGGCAACAAGGGAGGAGGCGAGCCCGGAGGAGAGGTGGAGGAGGCAGCGGGGGCTCGGAATGTGTGAGGCCCCAGGCAGCAGAGGCTGGCAAGGCCGCTTGCTGGGGCCAAGCCTAAAATCCTGAGCTACAAAAGCGAATTCCTTCCAATTTCTGGCCACCTGCCCTGCAGGCCTGGCTTTGGCCCAGATACAGCAGCTGGCCCCCCAAGACAGCACCTGCCCCGGGACACCCAAGCAAAGCCCCAGATGCCTTCCAGCAGCAGAGACTCCCTTGTCCAAATCTTATGGGACTTATTCCCACAGGCAAGGACCTGGGCCTGTCTTTCTAGTCCTCATAGCCTACCCCCACCCCTGCCTGAGGAAAGCATCTCATTCCAAAGATGCTCAGGCAACTTCTGTGCCTGACTGGTCAAGTACTTGTTTAGAAGGCAGAGTGGGTCTCCACAGGTGTCCGGAATGCCTGGTGATTATCTATCAGGCTCTTTGGAAGTATCTCTGCTCTGATCCCCTGTGGTACTTTTTCAGGGAGCCCACGCATCTTAGCACATGAGTGTACCATCCACAATGTGATCCTATTTTCTTTGGGTACACCATCTTCCCAGAACTGAAACCAAGGTCTCCCATTAAGATGAACAGGAACATTAATAAAAGTCTGTGATTACACTCCCTAGAAATCTGAGGATCTGGAAAGAGCCAGTTCTAGAAAATATGCTTACCTCACTCCCAGTTGGACAGGCTCACAGCTGTGTCTCTCCAGGGATTGTTAGTCGGGCTAGGCTCTTATGGCTTCTGGGGCAGTCATTTTTCACAGGAGATATCTTTGATTTTAGCGGAAAACAAGGCAATAAGACAAAGACCAGTTTTGTTAAACTATATTAAACTGAAAACAGACCGGGCTGCACAAAGGAAAAAGGTCGATAAGTAGATAATGAGGTAGAAAAAAAATGAGGTAGTGCTGGGAAGGTCTGATTGTATATAGTCACGAAATGCGACAAGAAGGAAAGTACAGGCCCTTATGCACACTTTGGAAACAAAGCAAGCTGCTCAAGACTTTTAGCCTGCAAACCGTTCAAATTGAAGGTGCCATGGATTTTTAAATTGAAGGTTTCTGGTACCTCTGCCCCAGCCAGCCTATAGCTACTCAGGGCCTGCAGCCTTCTGTGTATCGAAGTGAGCTTAGCACCAAACTGCAAGCAAGATCTCAAACAGCCTCACTTCACAAGGACTGCATAGGCTTCAGAGACATTCCACGTGATCCTGACCCCTGCTTCAATGCTCTCAACTCAGAGGGGCTGGGGGAAATATTGTTAAATTAACTTGGAAATACCAAACACAGCTGGGAACTTTTCAAAGCTGTACCAATCTAAGGATATGACTGTTGAACTAAAATACTCTTTTCTTTTAGAACATGCCCCAAAATACCTAGGGATTTGGGAGGGGGAAGCTTTTTCACTATAACCTAAGGAGTAATCATTTAAACTCAAACTTTTCAACAGCTTTTTGAACTGGTAGCATTATTCTTGTTCTCAGAAATGGAGACTAAGGTTCAGATTGGTTATGTAGCACAGCAAGATTAGAATTATAAAGTTTGATCGTGTTCTTCTCAGACCTACATTACTCCCCACACGTGGATTGTATCCATGATTTCCCTCCATTTTCTTAACTTTTCTTCCTTCTAGACTACAGTGCTTCCTGTCAAATCTCTTCTCTGTAAATCCACCAGTGACGTCCTGACCAAATTCAAGGGTCTCTGAACAGTTGCCTCCTTGACTTGAAGGATGAATTTGATATCAGCAGCCACCCACTCCTTCCCGTAGCTGTCCTACCCTTGGCTCTCATGGCATTGTATTCTCAAGTTTCTCTTTTTTATCTATCTGACCCGTAGTTCACTGTCCTTGCTGGCTCCTCTTCCTTCCTCCTCCCATTAATTTTTGGAATCCTGAAGGACTCAACCCTCAGCTATTTTGTCTAAAAGTGTCTCCCTGGGGAGATAGCTCAGTGCCTGTCTGGCAAACACAAGGTCCTGAGTTCGATTCCCAGTACCAATAAATACATAAATAAAGTGTCTCCTTACATGGTTTCACCTAGTACTTGGAATATGTTTAGTCAAATTTGATTCTCTACCTCTAATTCTTCATCTCTCAGATTCCTCTACTTCTTCATTTCAGGCTTTATTTGCACATGTTTAATCCAGGTTTTCATTATTTTAGGTCAAATATGCAGATTGAGAATCTCTTGCAGGATCTTAACACCTACAATGCAGTTCACCATGCTTTGGATAAAGTAATTATCTTCCAATACCTATTTCAATTCAGAAACCTAGTTGCTGCTCATTGCTTTTTCTTTTCTTTTTTGTTTTAAAGAGAATAAAAAATTTTTAAAAACAATAAAAATACAGAATTTCAAAACAAGATGATAGGAAATTAACAATGGTTGTTACATTGTGTGTTGTTATCTTCAAGGTAGTTGTTCAGATTACCAGATATAGGCATGCAAAATTGATCAAACAATTAAGCATTAACTGTTTATTTCAATAAACCAATAAAAATTAGCAGTACAATTATCTTAGTTATCTTGTGTGTGTATGTGTATTTTTCTTTCTTTCTTCCTTCCTTCCTTCCTTCCTTCCTTTCTTTCTTTCTTTTTCTCCTTTCCCCCATCCCAGTTGTTCTTTCCTTTTGAGGAGTTTCTTTCTTTTTCACAATATCTATTGTACCTTTTGGATTTTATTTACTTTTTTAGTTTCTTACACTAGGAAGATAGTATGATGCTTACATATATGGATCTGATTTATTTCACTTATCAGTATGGTCTCTAGTTGCATCCAGTTACCTATAAAAACCCCAAGTTTATCTTCTTTATAACTGAGGAATACTCCATTGTATAAAAATACCACATCTTTTTTACCTGTTCCTCAGTTGATGGGCATTTGGGTTGTTTCCAAGATTTAGACATGACAAATTGTGCTGCTATAAACATGGGTGCACAAATCCCACTGTGGTATGATATTTGCAATTTTTCTGGAAAAATACCCAGAAAGGGACTAGCTGGGTCAAATGGGATATCTAATCCTAGTTTTTTGAGGAATCTCCACACTGATTTCCACAGTGGTTGTATCAATGTACATTGCCACTAGCAGTGGAGAAGAGCTCCTTTTTCCCCACAGCCTCGCTCGCATTTGTTATTGGTTGACTTCTTGATGATAGCCATTCTTTCTGGAGGGAGATGGCTTTTTCAGTGGAGCTTGATCTTAAGTCATCACCAATAGACAGTATCTCCTCTTCCAATCTGGAAATAGCATATTACTGGCATTACTCTCCAGTACTCTGTGACTTGTGCCCACCTCAAAATTCACTGCCTGAAGGAAACCTTGCTCCATGCATCGCTGTGCTCTCAGTTTTCACAGAGCACCCATACTGGCGCTACCTTAACTTAGATTTGCAGTATTCAAGGGAGAAATCTTGGGAAACACATAAAAGCACTAAGGAACAAATTATCAGTAGTGTACATGTATGTACCCCCACAGACATGTGCAGAGCCATACACACAGTCACACACTTTCATTATTTCATGGTCTGTCTTTTTCACTTAACAACTATGAGCTTTTCTTATGTCACTTATTATTTTTCTATAACATCATTTCATTGTCTATACAGCATTACAAACCGAATCTACTATCATTTATTTAAATTAACACTTATTATAAGGTTCTGTTATTTCCAGACTTTCACCTTAAAAATAATGTTTTAATGAACACATACAAGACTATTTTTAATTTTACTAAATAAATTACCAGAGAAAAAGCAAGTTACAAATTTATAGAAGACTGTCATAGGGAGAGTATATATGCATAAGATGGTGATAACAGAAACGGAGAATAGTCATAAAATGTAAATAGGCCCAACCCCTCAGAAATGAAAAAACAGGTGTGAGTGGGGATTCTAGCTTTCTTTTTACACCAAAGGCTCTGGGCATCCCTTCAAATCTGTCTTAGGTCAGCCTTGGATGGCTGAAATGCGTCTCTTTCACTGACACACTTAAAACTGCCAATCCATCAGTCAGGAATTGTTTCCTATTTCTGCTTACCTTTCCACCTTCCTTCCACCCTTGCTGTATACCTATTGAATAATCATCTCTTTATCATCTAGGATTCATTTATTTGAATCCTAATTGAATGGTAATCAAGTATGTTGATAAGGGGAAGTAATCAGAATCATATATGTAGATTTTCAAGGAGTCTTGGGGAAAGTTTTGAGCAGTACCAAGGTTGTTTGGAAAGTACAACTCATGAACCATGGAATGGGAAATGCTTTCACCCTTCCTTGAGAGTGCCAGTACTACAGCTCCATGGAAGGTGGTTGAATTGATCTGTTTGTCTCCTGGCCAAAGGAGGGGCACAAATGGTAAGCACTGTTCGAGTCCAGCGAGCTGGCAGGGCCAGAGTAGTCTTTGGAGGATGAGAAGAAAGAAGGTTTCATGATGTACCAGTTACAGATCAGGAAATATTGATTGATTCATTCATTACCTCAACAATTGTGGGTATGGAATGTTACTTTGTGGAAAGCCCTGTACTGGATCCCAGAAACACATCAGTGAGCAAGTCACTTTAGTGAACAGTTTGTTCCTTTTTAACTCTCACAGCTACTTCCTTGTGAACTGGCAACAAGTAGAGAGTGCCAGGGCATGGAGCCAGGTAAGTAGTGGGCAGGGAGGCCAGCCAGAAATTCTGATTTGGAAAGAATTATGACCCGGTACTAGAGTCCACAGTTCTGTGTGAAGGAAGGAAGACCCTAGGTGGTGTAAACTCACAGACCTTTGCTCT